AGTTTTGTTCAAAAAACATGCCCAGCTCCACACATGATTGGTCTAAGCCAAACATGCCAAAATTCCCCTTTGCAGGTGATAACTGTATTTTAATTTATTAATATATAGTATATAATATTATAAACATAATTCATAATTCAAATGTTGCTGAAACCTGTGTCTTTTTTTTTTTAAGATTTTATTTTTAAGTAATCGCTATACCCGACTTGGGGCCTGAACTCACAACCCCGAGATCAAGAGTCGCATGCTCCACAGACTGAGCCAGCCAGGTGCCTCTGCTAAAGCCTGTCTTTGCAACAGCATTTCTTTCTATCCAAATACCCTCTGACCCTAACATCCAATGATGGTCATTGTTTCCGAGCAACCCAAAATGCTACACAATTTTTCAAAATGATGATATATAATCCCTCTTTCTAGGTCGTGGTAGAACACTGGACCTGAAGAAAAATTCCCATAGTGTTAAATCTTATTCTTTCTGCTGTTGCTTTGTTATTAAAAATCTTTAACACCTTCTTCCCAAAGCACTGAGGCCTCTCAGGTCAGGTGTCCACCCAGGAACCCAGTGCCCAGAGACAGGGTGAGGACCATCAAGCTGTCCCCTGATCTCACCCACCAGGAAGACCATCGCAGCTGAAATCCCGCTGAACTCAGGAATGAAGCCCAGGGGGTTCTGTCACCCACCATGACACAGCTGGGTGAGGCAGAGCCATGGTTACTAGGAACACCAAACCACCCAGAAGCAGCCCGGCCTCACAGCTCCCTCCACCCGACACACTGCAAGAGGTGCAGCTGGGCATCCGGCCACGGCCAGCCCCGTCGTGTCCACTGAGGAGTAGCCCTGCAACCTGCCCTCCAACAGCCCGGGCCCAGGGCAGGTTTGCAGAGTCCAATGAAGTTCTGGGGCAGGGGAAAGGGAAAACCCTGCCCCTGTCACCATCTTCCCCAACCCAAAGGTTGGTGACAAAGAAAACAAGACAGAACCAGCCGACACGCCCCCACTCAGAGCCTCGTGTCGCCCCTCTGTCCTCAACCCAGTCCCTGGTTCCCCTCCCCAAAGGTGCCAACATTTGGGGCCCATAATTTCCCCTTAATGGTCCTCCATCCCAGATGCCCCTTCACACAACCTGGAGTGTGGACCCAGAACCCTATGCTGGCCCAGAGAAAACTTGGCCCTCTCCCTGCCCATGGGCACGAGGCCCAGGACTCACTCCAGGGTAAGACAGTTTCCTCTCCAGAGAGGGGTAGGCATGGAAGTGGGAGCTGGACCAAAGATCCCAACACAGACCTATGAGAGACCACAGTGTGGGAGTCAGCAGAACCAGCTGGAGAATACCTCAGAAGTGGAGAGATGGCCACAAGATACAACCTTAGATTCTTACTGTTTATTTATTTACTTATTTAAGTAAGCTCTAGGCCCAACATGGGGCTTGAACTCACAACCCCGAGATCAAGAGTCAGGTGCTCTACTGACTGAGCCAGCCAGGTGCTCCAATTTTTTTTTTTAAGTATTTATTGCAAAGAATGCTGGACACAGTGTGACGTGTGGCTGAGATCCACCACCACCCACTCCAGGGAGAATGGGAAAACGTCTTCGACACAAGCACATGGACTGTCATGGATAAAACCTGGCAGCCGACCCAGTGGGTTGCTGCCCATGCAGAGAGCACTCCAGGCAGAGGCGGAGAGGAGCTGCCCCAACCCTGCCATGCCCTCAGGCTTCCCTCTGCCCTATCCCAGTCCTTGTAACACTCTGGGTCCAGCAGCTCCTGACTGCCCTCTGGGCACAGAGAAAAGGCCTCACTGGTCCTGCCTCAGCCAGTCTGAGGTCCTGGAGAGGTGGGGACATCCAGACGTACAGCCCACCAACCAAAGAAACCCACTATGGCCAACAAGTAACTGTCCATGTGACCAAGTCACCAAAACTCTGGGGGACATGGAAACAAGGGCTGTGGTCCCCATGTCCCAAAGGCAGTGGCATGGTCCTCTGGTCCTGAGTCCAGGGCTAGGGGCTCTGGCAGGAGGTAAGTCCAGAAGCTCCTGCCCCAGCCCTCCACCGGGTCTGTCCACGGCCACTGCAGTGCACGAGGCTGAGAGACCACAGCTGGGGCAGGGGCACGCGCAGGCTTTAAAGCCCCGGGAGGCTGGGAAAGGTGGGCTGTCCTGCCAGGGAAGCTTCTGGGTACAAGGTGGGCTCGGGATCCTGGTCGAGGACCCACTTGTGGACAGCAGGGCGTCCGACTACAGACCCCGACACCTCCTCACCCAGCCTCTCGACTTGCTGGCCAGGCCCCCTGCCCATCTACAAGATGGAGCCAGAACCCACTGCCCAGCCTGCCTCTCTGGGCCCAAAGGAACTCAGGGGCGCGTGACAGATGGCAGCCTCCCGGGGTGGTTTTCTGCCAGGCTTCCATGCACGGGAAGCCGAAGCTGCGCCATGCTGGGAACATCCTCCCCTGGACAGGGTGCCTCGGGTTTCCGGCCTCTCCCCACAGGTGGAGGTCAGTGAACGCCAGGACAGGCTTTTTTCTCTGAACGCTTCACAGCAAATGCATTTCTCTGCCACCAGGGTCCGCTCCTGTGTGGACACAGGCGGCAACGGGGGAGAGGTAGCCTGGGGAGCACGGCCGGGAGGGCAAGGTGGGACCCTCTCCCTCGAGCACCTGGGTGTTCACGCGACCACCCTGACTTTACGTGCTTTCACCGTGACAGCCGTTGGGCAGGGGCGGCCTTGGCCACCAGCTCCCCCAAATGTTCCAGTGTACGTGCGATCGACAAGGGGTGACCCCAAAGGCCGCGCTCCCTGCGTGCTTCTGCTGATGTGAGCACGTGGCGCTCACGAGCGGCTCCGACACGAGGGGGCGGCCTCGGTGGCTCTCGGTTCCTGGCAGGACGGGAAGGGCACTCCCTCGCAGCCCCGGCAGCAGAGCTCAGGGTCCCACCCAGAGGAGACAAGAGAGTCCCCGCTGGGGTCGCCAGGTCCGCCTGAGACAGCTCGGCCGTGGCGGGAACCTCCTAGCCGGGCTTTCTGTTCACATGTTTAGGGCTTCACACTTCACAGAGCCCACCGACCAGGGAGAGAGCACCTCAGAGCTGCAACGGCAGGACCAGCTTGTGAGGACACCTCTCACCAGCCCCGGGCGGATGCAGTCTGGCCAAATGCTTTATAGCAGCAGGTCGGGCACCACGTCTAACCCTGTCACCGTTAACAAGGAAGCAGGGAGGCTGGTGCGCAGGCTCTGGGATGTTCCGGCAGAGAAACTCACACGGGCCAGGGGGCCTGTAAGGACCTCATCTGCAGAGGTCCATACCTGCCTGGGGGTCCCAGTGGATGAGGCATGGTCACTGGTGAGCAGGGACCGTGACAAGGGCTTCCTCCGGGGGCCTCGAGATGTCTACATTCTGCAAAACAAACACACACACAACAAACCACAGAACATTCACCTTGTGGTGAGAATAGATGGACACCCACTGTCCTGCTGTCTACTTTCCTCATCACTGTAACCCTCTGGGTTCACATACTCATCCCCCAGGAGCCCTGGCTATGGGACTCCAACCCCCAAATTTCCCTAAGAGCAAGGGCTCAAGAGCCTCTCCACACATGCCGGATGGATGAACACAAGGGTTCAAAGGCAGCGGAGGAAGGTGCCCGGGTCCTGCTCGCTCCTTGCTCACAGGGCAGGCAGTGCCCAGAACGAGGCCATCCCACCTCCTGCCTCAGGCCTGAGTCAACTGGGAGGGAAGAGCTTGTTAGGGGCTCAAATCCTCACCAGTGGGGGCAGGGAAGGGGGCCCCGCTCCTGGGGGTGCCCACCTCCTGGTCTAAGTGTTGGTGGGCAGGTGTCAGATGAGGCCCCAGCAGCCTGTGGACCCCTCCTCATCTTGGCCTGCTCTGTCCTCTCAGAGCTGGGGCACAGGGTGCCCTGGACCTCCCGAAGCCCTCAGCTACAGAGAGGCCTCGCCAAGCCGCAGAGCCCAGCTCCTTCCATGGCCTGCTGGGCTCAGGCCTGAGGGATAAGGGGGCCTGACACTTTCCTCAGCTCCACGAGACGGTCCTTTGAGCCCCCCAATCCTGGTGGCCCATCTTCTTGATTGTGGGCCCTCACAACCATCACCTACTGAAGCAGGTCACCTGGGGCTGCAGCCCTGTGTGACGTGATGTGCCCAGACCCACAGGCAAGAAGACACGGCCCCCAGGGGCCCACCTCTGGGTTCACTGAACCAGCCACTGCAATGGGAGGGGCAGGTGCAACTCTGGGGGATGGGGCAGGCTTCCTGAGGGCCCCTTTCCCATCTCAGTTTGCTCCCAAGAATGGGCTAGGGCCCGGGGATCCTGCCACCTGAAAGGGAACCAGCCGGGAACCGGTGGCCAGCAGAAGTTGGCATCTCGGAAGCCAGCATGCAGAGGTGGGCAAGGGGGCTGCCAGCTACCCCGTGGCCATGCTGGCTCCTGCCCTGCAGATGCGGGGGTCAGCCCCCAGTGCCGGCCGGGTCCAGGGGCTTCTCTTATCATCACCCTGTCAGCCAGTGCTGGGGCCCAGTGCCTCCTGGACTTCCCTCAGCACAAAGGGTGCCCGTTAGGACATGCATTCCCCAGTGACCTATGGGGGCCAGACGGGGCCTGGAGCAGAGTCTCGGGACAAACAGGGAAGAGGCCTGCATGGTGGATGGTCCCAGGGAGGGGGCAGCCACCTTAAGAACGTCCACACATCTCTGCTGGTGGGGACCAAGACCACAGGGCTGCAAGTGTGCAGCCCAAGCTGTGCACCTTTGACAGGGACCCAGAGCCCACCATGCTCCCTTTTAGGCGGCAGCAGCCACAACTGAGACCCCAGGAGCCTTCTTGGTACAGCAGACTCTGGGAATGGGGTCCAGAAGGGCCGATCTAGCCCTTGGCCTCAGTGGAAGAGAGACCTCCCATGGACATAGAAAGGGGTTCTGGGCAATACTTTGAGGAGCTTCTATCTTAAACAAGGCACTGGGGGAACACAGGGTCGGGAACTGCTCTTCTGCAGGACCGTCTCTGTCCAGTGCCAACACCCTCTCTGCACCTGCATGGCCCTTTCCCCAACAAAGCGCACACCGTTTTAATTTTTAAAGTTGCTCAAGTTGGAAAGGATGCTCGTGAGGCCTGAACTTGTAGGGGATCACGGAAGAATCTGCATCCGTCCCCTTGCGGGCCTCTTGCTTCTTTCCAGCTGGGACCCCCTCTCCCCCTGGCCCAGACCTCTGTGATAGGGCTGCTGGGAAGCCACCACACCCAGGCTCAGGCACTTCCTACCCTGGTGGCCCAGCTCCAGGGGCCTCCCCACTCCCAGGGCAGCACCCTCGGGAAGGCCCAGCCCAGAGCCATGACCTCACCCTGATGATAAGACAGCAGGTTTGGTAGAGAACTCAAGTCCTCTCTGGCAGGCACCCCAACTGGCCCTGGGTCTGGAAGATGCTGCATCTGGATACCCCCAGGAATAGGCTCGCCACCCCAGCAGTAACCCCATTGCTACCTGAGGCCTATCCCGGTGTGTGTTCACAGCCATCACGTTCAGGAATATGGACTCCACTTTACAACCTGCCAAAGGGAGGATGTAAATTCATTTCCCCTCCTGGAGCCGTAGAGGGTAGAAGCTTCTCTCGGGTGGAAGCCCGGGGTATCGCAGAACAGGGCAGCCATTCTTAGCCTCATCCGGGTCCTCCCACATTGGGCTGCTTTGGGGAGCACGGGAGGAAGGACGAGGAACCCCGCAGGCCCATGCTTATCAAGTGCCACCGCGCAGCCTTGGGGAGAAGCCCAGACACCCGGGAGGGCTCCATTGAGGAGACGAGACGTGCAGCAGCCTGAGCACGGCGTGGAATCGTTCCATGAGCCTTCGGGGCCCCCGCACCACTCACACCCCAAGCACGCCACAAACACAAGGCCAAATCCACATCATGCCAGGGGCTCAGTGCATGGGGACGAGGGGATGAGCACACAGGGGAACAACATCAGCTGTCACTGGGCTTTCCCGTCGTTCTCCCAAGGACACGACCACCTGAGGGGTGCCTCATAGCCTGTGCTGAAGGTGAGGAGCTGAGACTCAGGAGCTTAGGAGGTAGCCTGAGGTCCCTGCGGGCACAATGCAAGGCAGAGTTGGGACTCAAACGACTCTGCACTCAAAATACCCTGAATATGTTAAGGCCCAGGTCCTGGGGGCCGTGGGGCTTTGTGGGGGTCTCTGAAAAAACAGTAGAAAAGCCCCTCATGCAGGTGGGTGATGGTTAAGGATCATCAGAAAGGCTCGTGTGGCCACAGAAATTAAAACAAAACAAAACAAAAAAGTAAATTGGGAGGGGCTCCTAGCTGGCTCAGTCTGTGGAGCGTGTGACTCTTGATCTCGGCGTTGTGAGTTCAAGCCCCAAGTTGGGTGTAGACCTTACTTAGAAAAGAAAAAAAAAAAAAGGAAATTGGGAAAGGCAGTGGGTGGGGGGCAGAGGAGGAATGAGCCCCTAATGGGAGTTTCAAGGGATCTGCAGAAACATCGTGGAGTCCCATGGAAAGCCAGAGTCTGGCAACCAGGTGAGTGTGCAGGAAGCTTCCTTACCATAAGCCACAGGGGTCAGTTTCAGGACGGTATGCAGCGGACACTTGAGGTAGGGCAGCTGTTCTGTGGACACAGATGGGCAGGGCTGGCACACCAGGGACGCCCACAGAACAGTCCCTCTGTCCCTCTCACATACACACATCCCACCTCCCCGGGGGCCGGCCCGCACCTGCTGCCTTATCAAGGAAGTAGGCCAGAAGGCAGCGCATCACAGCCTGGTGGCAGATGACCAGCACATTCTCTTGTCTCTCCAGCTCCATGATGACAGGCTCGAGGCGCTGGACCAGGTCCTCATAGGACTGCAAGGACAAGCGGGAAGGGTCCCTCAGGCCCTGCTCCAGGGGTAGTGACGGAGATGTTCTGGGTAGCAGGCTACCTCCTCACTCCTAGGACCCTCATCATTCTGGGAGGTTGTGGCTAGATATCCTCCAGCCTGGCACCCCGCGGGCACCGGGGGTGGGCAGCTCAGGGCTAGGGCCTGCCTCTGTAGGACAGTGAGATGTCCAGCTCGAGATGGAAGCTGGGAGGGGAGAAGAACTGGAAATCTGGGAAAGAGATCGCATCCTCTACCCCAGGGCCAGGTCCCAGGAGGACGAGAGGACAGGGCTGGGCCTCAGGCTTCCATCCTAAGGGGCCATCTCCATGCCTACCCCTAGGGCCCTTGGCGGAACCTTCTGTTGCTGGAATTCACACACTGGCAAACTGAGGACTGGGAGGAGAGACACTGTGCCCTTCCAGCCCATAGCAGACGGAACGCACCGAAAGAACCGTGGGGGTGGGAGGAGCAAAGACCCCCAAAACTTCCTGGGACTTGACCCATCGGCATGCCTGAGGGCCCAGGAACAATGATCCTCATGGTCAGCCTGCCCTGTGCCTCCCCTGGGTGCCATGAGGTAGCTGATGAGGGAGCCCTTGGACCAAGCGTGGGCCCTGAGGTTTAGAGACTTCTCCGTCAGGAGACCAAGCCCCCTTTGCACACAATGAGCGGGACTTTAAAACACACGCCTCAAGCTGGAGCCGGAAGTGCTCCCTGGGACCGAAGTCCTGTAGTTCCGGGGGAAGCCTAGCTCAGTTCTTTTGGTAACTGTAATTTCCCTACCAATTTCCCCCCGCTGTATTCTCCAGTCTGAAGAGGGAACAGCTTGGCTTCTTTTTACTGTTATCTGGGTTAGTTTTAAATCTGAGTTCTCCCTCACAGTACGACGTGGGGAATAATTAATGCTCCCCAGAGCTGTACTTTTCCTGAAGACAGTCTAGCAGAGGGGCCAAGAGGCTGGCACCCGGGGTTGGGGGTGGGGGGTAGCTTCTGCATGAGTCTGTATATGGGTGTACATATGTGTGTATCTGTCAGGGTATCTTTATTTGGCCACTGCCCCAGGCCACCTCCCGGAAGTGGGAGGTACCCAAGTCAAAGGTGACCTACTTCTGACCTGGGGCCTGGGCTGAGGCAGGACCCAGCCTGAGGGAAGGTGTCCGAGCACATGGCTTCCTGTGGCTATGACTCAACCGGGGAAGGTCTCCCTAGGTCTGTATTCAGGACTCTGTGTCTGGAGCCATGCGGAGGACATGATCCCTGTGATACCCCGGGGAAGGGGAAAGGCAAAGATGGGGAACATCGGGGAGCAGGGATCCAATGAGTCTCAGAGTTGGGAGTCCCGTGCAGCAATGTCCACCCACCGCCCGAGTGGGGGGTGGGGACTGCGGCCTGGGCATCACGGCTGGGGAGTGGCAGAGATGACACACACACCCAGCCTGGCCAAGCTCTGAGGTCAGGCCCCACCGGCTGTCCATGCAGCCTCCAGAGTCCCCCAGGGGTCCTGGGGCAGAGCGCAGGTGGCAGCTGGGGCTAAGCCCCCAAATCCCACCTACCTCCCCCTTGGGGTACCGATACCGGTACTTGTCCTGGTCCCGTAGGGCAAATTCCAGTGGATAATGATCCTGAATTTCTTCGTAGGTCATCTCCTCACAGACGCCCTAGGGAGACATGGCGGTCGTCACATCTCCCATGCCAGGCCTGGGGGTCAGCCCTGTGTCGGGGGGGGTGGCGGGGAGGGCAGGCAGAGGGGACCAGGTTTACAGGGCATTTCCAGGGCCACAGGGGCCCTCCCAGCCTGGAGCTTAGAACCCCACTGGGAAGAGCAGGCCCATGGGGACGCTGAGCAAGGGGGCAGCCCCTTGTTTGTACAGAGCTACCAGAACAGTCTTTTTCCATCCATCCATTACCCATCCATCCAGTGTATGCCATAAAAATAAACAAAGGAATGTTAACTATGTGTCTTTCCTTGTGTCTTTTGTTTTCTGTGCTGTAGAAATACGTATTCTGAGTTATAGACTATTGTACAAGCTATAAAGCAAGAATTCACTTGTGTTCTTCAAGACACCCACGCACTCACATGTGGCATGGATTACCTTCTATAAATGCTATTTTTTTAAAAATCCAGCAGAGAAGAACACTGGTTGACAACATGTAAGTGTGGTTTAAGGGCCCTGAGAGGGAAAGAAGCCATAAAATGTCCTAATAAAAAGTTGCTGGTCTCTGCCTTTGTTCTAAGTTGTTTTCTAGACAAAGCCTTGGGGCAAAGTTGTCTGTTAAGAAGGAAAGACCAAGAGGAAAACTTTCAGCTGTAAATGTCTGTATGGAAAAAAAAAAGAAAGATCTCAAATCAATAATCTGATCTCCCACCTTAAGATACTGGAAAAAGAAGAGCAAGCTAAACGCAAAGCAGGCAGAAGGAAGGAAGTAATAAAGATCAGAGCAGAAATAAATGTAATAGAAAACAGAAGACAGAGAAAAGCAATGGAAGCAGAAGTTGGTTCTTTGATAAGATTCACAGAATTCACAAACCTTTTGCTAGACTGACAAGAGGCCTCCCATCGAGCAGGGAGCCTGATGTGGGGCTCGATCCCAGGACCCTGAGATCATGACCTGAGCCGAAGGCAGACGCTCAATGACTGAGCCACCCAGGTGCCCCAGAAGCCTGCTTCTCCCTCTCCCACTCCCCCTGCTTGTGTTCCCTCTCTCACCGTGTATCTCTGTCAAATAAATAAAATCTTTAAAAAAAAAAAAAAGAAGAGAAAAAAATCACTATGATTAGGCATGACAGAGGAACATTACTATCAAGCTTCCAAGAGAAGAGACTCTAAGGGACTATTGTGAACAACTCTGTGTCAACAAATGAGATAACTTATGTGAAATAAGAAAATTCTAAGAAAGACAAACCATCTTTGTTGAGTCAGATGTGTCCCTGCTGAAAGATACGCTCGAGTCCTAATGCGTGGTACCTGTTAGTGTGACCTTATTTAGAAATAGGGCTTTGGGGCGCCTGGGTGGCTCAGTTAGTTAAGCGACTGCCTTCGGCTCAGGTCATGATCCTAGAGTCCCGGGATCGAGTCCCACATCAGGCTCCCTGCTCAGCAGGGGGTCTGCTTCTCCCTCTGACCCTCTTCCCTCTCGTGCTCTCTGTCTCTCA